TGTGGCCAAATTCTGTTGACATCATTGATTTTTGTGATGGATATTGATGTATTTTGAAATTGACAGCGATGGCGTGGTATTTTGGAGTTGATTTCAATGGTGGTGGTATTAAGAAATATGAAATTAACGGTGATGTTGGTGGTGAGTATTGTAGAGTTGACGGCGGCCAGTGATATTGTTATCGGTGATGGGTATTGTGGAGTTGATGGTTGTTATAATGGTGAAAATGTTGTGAATTTGATGGCGGCGGTAATGGAGGAACAAAGCAAGGAGTAGCTGGTGAATGGTGGTGCACTGTGAAATCTACGGTGGTGGAATGTGAGGGACGATGAAGGTTGGGTGGGTGGTTTTTTATTTTTTTTAAAAATGTGTAAAAATAATTTTTTTGACACGTGGAGGTGCGTGTAGCACACCTACCTTTACAATTGTGGTTCTAGACTTCTGAGGGGATATTAAATTCACTTGAAATGAGTTAAGGGGGGTAAATAATTACCCGTAAAGTTACAGTGCTAAAGTAAGTTATGCGGACAAGTTCAGGTTTTTTTTTATTTTATGTATTTCCCTTTTTTAAGTTTGAAATATTTTTCAAAAACAATTTTTTTATTAAAAAAGAAATTGACAAGGGAGAGGGTCAGGTTATGGGGTGGAGTAAAAAATGAAATTTTAAAAATTTGAAATATTTTTCTAAAATAATTCTTTTTTTTGGGTTTTTCAAAAATAATATTTTTTACTTATTTTTTGTTTGGGGGAAGGGAGCTGGGGGTTTGTTTGGGGAAACCGGTAAAAATATATTTGAAATTTAAAAAATAAGAAAATTTAAAAATTTTAACTTTCTTTGGATGAGGAGGGTCATGTACGGGGTAGGGTAAGAAGAAAAAAATATTTTAAATTTTGCAATATTTTTCAAAAATAATATTTTTACTTATTTTTGTTTGGGGGAAGGGAGCTGGGGGTTTGTTTGGGGAAACCGGTAAAAATATATTTGAAATTTAAAAAATAAGAAAATTTAAAAATTTTAACTTTCTTTGGATGAGGAGGGTCATGTACGGGGTAGGGTAAGAAGAAAAAAATATTGAAGGATGAAATAAAGTTCTGAAAAATGTTTTTCTTAACTTTTGAAGGAAAGTTATTCTCCTTACTGATTTGGAAAATATTTTTCCAAACATTTCAATCAACCAAACATGAAAAATTTGGAAAAGAAAACATTTTTCTTCCTACCAAACACACCCATAGTGAATCCGTAGTTTTCCTTTTGGGGTCTTTGGTTTGCACAAGTATCTTGAAGTGTCCGTCACTAATTGAGAGAATTTTTGTTACTTCTTCACCAAATTAATTCTATCATCATCTCAAATAACTTTTGTTTATATGAGAGAGGTTGAGAGGTTTTCCAAATCATATTATCTTTTACCTTATGTTAGTGTGTTGGTTTGGAATTGATGGAAAATGAAAAGGTCGGGGGTAACTCACTTCATCTCTTATCTTAAAATTATTGGTTTGAGTCACCAAAAAAGTAAAAAGTGAGATCTCTTTAGGAGGAGTAAAAACAAAAAGTTAAAAGACATATTTGATTTGAAAGTTTAAACGTATTATTAATTATCCTGATATCCGACTAAGATCTTTGCATTTAATAAGGTCGTCTTAATCTTATTAATTCAAATTTGAGCCGTTAAATTTTATTTAATTTTTAGATCTAAAGGTAAAAATCCTACCATTAGCCTATCACGCAAGAACCCTATCTTGCATTCAGATATGATTGGGACAATTTTACATATTTCTTCTACTTCTAATCAGCCATACAATAATTATCCTATAATTGCAAATTGCATGATCATGTTATTCACTTCTTCCTCGTCCCACACAATAATTGTTAAATCTTTGATAGAAATAGGGTTTGAAGGGATCAAATATTTGTAGGATTGTTTTGTTGGAGGTAGGGGTGTACATGATCGGGTTGGTTCGGATTTTCAAATATCAAACCAAACCATTTGTGTCAAAATTTAAAATTTATAAACCAAACCAATCTAATAAACTCGGTTTTTTTGGGGTTTTCCAACCACGGGTTGGTTCGGGTTTTTCAAATACCAAACCAAACCATTTGTGTCACATATTTAAATTTTTAAATCAAACCAAACTAATAAACCTTATATTTTTTCGGATTTTTGGATTTTTCCGATAAAATATTCATACAAACATATAAATAACTTGTGTTTCAAAAATTTCTTTAGTCCAACCAAAATATAACTATCTAAGGTGTTTCTTAAGACATCAACACAAAATATGATGAGTGATGACACTAAAATATTCAATAAAATATAATAATGAAATTGCATAAAATAAATATTGCAAATTGATAAGTCATAATGAAAAATATCATAATTTAAAAGTACTATATAAATCATGCTAAAATAAGTCTAATAAGTATTAATTACATGATAAAACATTAAGAGAAAAATTAAAATTAGATTATGTATTTTAAATGTCTAAATCAATGTAAAACTAAAGAACAAATATTCAACATTATTGTCATTCTTAGTGTTGAATTAATTTATTTTGTTAGCATTAGTATTGATTTGATTTTGAATTGAGTTTTATTAGAGTTAATAATATCTATGGACTATAACATTTATTGGACCATTTAAAATTATAAGTTTAAAAAAACTTGAAAAATATGTTAAAAGATTAAAATTATGAAAACGTACAAGTAATATTTAGAAATTACGTCAAAGTAAATACATTTATGTATAAAATAAATTTTAAAATTATATATATAATATCGGGTTGGTTTGGTCTCGGGTTGACTTTTTTTAGTTAAAACCAAACCAACCCAAGTATGGTCGGGTTTTTTTTTCCAATACCAAACCAGGTCAAACCAAACCATTAGTCGAGTTTTTTTCCGGTTTGATTCGATTTGCGATTTGGTTCGATTTTCGGTTCGATTTTGTACACCCCTAGTTGGGGGTATAGGTGGTCACCCAAAAGTCATCGCCAACGATCTAGGGTTTACGATGCATTTTTTTGGTAGTATAGTATAAAATTTAAGACACAAAGGTGTTTCGGCCTACAATATTAGTTGACAAAGAGGTAATATCATTTGTATAATTATGGTTACTTGTTAATATTGTATTTATTAATGATATTGATTGGTAGATAAAATCTCCAAAAAGGGAAAAAGATCACTATCTTCAATAATTATGTCAAAAAATGGAAGGACGTTTTAGAACCAAATAAAAGACAACTAGTATATATGTTATTAAGGGTTGATTAAATCATGTTCACTCTTCAATGTGCAAGGAATTTAAAATAGCTTTTACTAACAACACCATTATAAAGAATGTCGATAGTAACATAAAAATTCAAACAATTCTATATATTAGTGACGGTTCTATCATATGATAATTTATTCACAAGTTATTTTGGTACATAATTACTTAGTACTTATCACTAATTTTAATCTCATAATATCCAAGTGTTTGCAAATGAAAATAAATAAAACAATCCTCAATGTTGACAATATTTTTCCTCAGATTGTCAATTTTATACGTATTCCATTTTCAATAGGAATATCAATATTGATAATAAGACCAGTGATGATGATATTATAACAACTGAAACGTAGGATGAATTTTTATAAGAAAGTATTAAATATGATAATAAGGATATATAAATAAAATAATAATAAAGATCCATTACTAATTTAAAAGGTGGTCTCACAAGAAGTCGTTGTGTGTATTTTGTTTTGTTGGCATAAACTACAATACAACGACCTCCTCCTTATCACCTAACTATATTTATATAAAATATAATGATTTATAATCGCCCATAGTTTTGATTTGTAATTGGCTAATTGCCATTGCCGTCTTTTTTTTATTTTCTAGCATCGTATAACCTATCACCATTTATTTTGGTGTTAACTTTCATTTTGATTTTAAAACAAAAATATCGAATGAATACTGATTCACATTTTTGTAGAAATATAGGAAGAGATTTGTTGCTGTCCGTATTCCATAAATGACCTAGTGTTGAGCATCCTATTTTTTTTCATACTAATCCAAAACAGAAAGGAGAATCTATTTTCTCACATTTTCTTCTTTATTTCCTTACTCAATTTCCAAGCAGAAAGATAATATTGCTGAAGGCAATGGAGCACTGCGAAACGAGAGCGGGGCGGGTTGAACTCCCAAAAAAATTGCTCGGCCTGCATAATAACTTTTTCATTTTCAAACCACCCTGCAAAAACCAACTCAGCATAATTTTTAATTTTTTTTTTCTAGTTAAGTTTGATGCTAAAAATAAAACTAATAAAAATAAATTTATGTTTTCATAAGTTTAATTAATAGGATAGTGACTTCAAAATTTATTTATTTTAGAGGTCAATTAGGAAAGAAATTATATTATTTTTTAGTGAACCACTTTCATTTATTATCTTGAATATTTTAGTAGTAGCTTTAAAGAAATTATCTTAACAAATAATGCTCAATCACTCTTATAACATGTAAAAGTTTCAGAAAAAGTTTAAACCAAGCACAACCTTAAATCCGCCCCATTACCACCCCTAATTGCAGACGAGTTCAACGTTTTACTGTGGACAAGTTTCCTTGAATGATTTTTGTTTGTTATCAATGAATCCAGACTTGCATACACCAATGGCTCAAACCCAAATATCATGGCTTCGGTTAGCCCCATGATGAAATTAATAGTTTTGGCTCATCATTTTGGTCTATGTTCTCTTGTGCTTCATATTTCAGACCAATTTCTTCTATTAAATAGAATACCTTAAGAAGGAATTTATCAAACAAACAAGTTGCATGAAACAAAAATAACAGAACGATACTTCATCTGAAAGCAGTACTAGTTGGTGGATTAATGAGTAATGATTCTCTTATGTAATCAGTTTTCAAGTAGAATAGGAAGATCAACTAGTGTAACATCACTGTTATTTTATTTTTTTATGATAATTCATTAGTAAATCGAAACATAGAAGTTAGTAGTGGTGAAAAGGCAACCATAGAATATTTGGGTGCATTACTGATCAAATTTTACTACACATCACAGCTGGTTGCGCTAAAGAGTCTGATCCAAGTTGCACCAACCACACTATATTCCAACAAGAGAATTTACACCAATATTGTTTTCAACAAAGATCCAAGTCAAATATTATTACTATAATTTACACAAATTTAAAACTATCTAATCTATGAAATAAACATGACAATGAAACAGCAAAATATCTGCAATCCACCTGAAGCATGTATGTGTCAAACTCAAACTCAATGCTCACATGACACTGCAATTTTTGCAACTGAAGGAACATTCCCTCAAAATCTTAAATAATCAATAATAATTAAAGAGAGCAACCAAAAGTGAAACTTAATGGTCAATGGAGTGGTTCAAATCTCGTCGATGACCCAAAAACATTAGGTGGGCGGCGTTACCTGTTACCAATTCTGATTATTCTGGTTAAGGTAGTAAGTAAATGGTGGAGTAACCTTAGTGCACACAACCCCCATTATGGAAATGAAAAATTATTGTTGCTATGAGAGGAAACTACCTACCTACAAGCTATGATACTCATACTCTTCAAAAAGGTCGACGGGTGCATGTCGAATTCTCCAAAACTATTGTAATTTTGAAGAATCTAACAGGGGTGAGGCATCATTTTTAAAGAGTCTGAAGAACATAGCCTACAAGTATCCGTCCCACAAGCATGTATAGCACACATTTTAAAGGCAATCATAACATGAACTAAAGTCTATTCAAGGGACATGGTCTATGTAGAGGGAATATGACAAAAACTGTTTATATTACTTCATGTAATATAGTTCTAGTTGGGGAAAGCTGCCAGAAACTGACATAAGCACATGAAATGCCTCCCTATAGGTAATTGCCCCAACTTCATAGACTCCCACTGCATTAACAAATCCGTATTCGCTCATCACCAGAAAATCACAAGATTAGCACACTAATTCCAAGGAACAAGCTTTCAAATAGAGTGTATTATCAAATAATGGAAGAAAACAAATACTACCAAAGTGCAAATCTTCAAATTGTGTTCATCCTCATGCTTTTAAGATAGATCAACGGTTATGCACTATCAAGTTCTCTCAAAATTCCTCTGCAGTTTAAGCTGTCAGAAAAACAAAAACCGAGTTTGTGCAAGCAAACTACCAAAAAGCTAGTAGAGAAGGCATGATACTCATGATGCAACCAAATGAAAGCAATGAAGGATCAGGCTACACGCAAGGCAGAAATAGCTCACAAGCTGCAACGAATTAAGCACAATTTTCTATTCAATGCTAAAAAATTTATTTGCCAATCCACAGACCGTAGCAGCAAACTATATTCATATTCCCTCATCTAAACCAATTTCAGGCGCAATTATAACAATCCAACTTCACTCTGCTCAACAATAAAAATTAGGTAATGAGTAACTTCGGCCCATGGAGTTCATGACAGTGTTATCAAAGGCGTGCTTAAGCCCTAAAGCGAGGCTCAAAATGCGTTACGTGCTTCACCTCACTTAACATGCGCTTCAGTATCGTCATCAAGGCTCTAAGACATACTTTTCCTTGTGATGAGCATTTCCTGAAGAGGTGATGCTGAACCATTGAGATTTCACTTTATCGTAAAAACAATCAATTACTTTGTCCATATATTTGTTATTCATTCATGCTTATAATTATTAGTCTTGGACTAAATATATATATATATATATATATATGTATGTTTTCTCCATTTATGCCTTTTCTCAATAAAGCCCACGCTTTATTTTCGCTTCGCGCTCAAAGCCCCCAACAAACCTTGGAGCTTTTTTGCGTTTTCCGCTTTAGATAACACTGGTTCATGAGTGCTTTCTTTCTCAAGCCATCAAAATGCATTCATCTAACCCTTAATTACTCACCATCCGTAAGCAAATAGATGACAATTTGGAATGCAGGTCGATGCATTAACTTAAGTAAAAATGTACACTTTCAATAACAAAATTAAGCTCTTTACTTGTGATCCTTTGAGTCCTGTGATATTGGTCCAGCAGTAAATTTATGACAATAATATCAAATAGAACTAGATATAAAGCGTCCATATAAAACTCCCATGGATCCTTCATTGTAGTATATCCTAAGAATTACAACTAGAAAACTGGTAAGTTGAGCTTTTGGCATCATTTTCTTTCAAATAATCATGGAGCATACTTCCTCCACTTCTCCAGAAAATTCTTAAAAGAAGAAACCACCAGAAAATAGTGCATGTGCAGACACCAGAAATAAATAGATCTCTGTTTGCTCTATATAGCTCAAATTTCCTTACATCAGAAAAGGAACAGGTGTCTTGTTTCCCAATCAAAATCCAAGATGCTTCACAGAAATACAGCCTCTCCAATGCAAAATTCTCTAGCCCCACATACACAAAGAGGCAACAGATAATAGATGAACTCCATCTCTCCAAGAGGCATGTCAATGCATAGGGCTTCCATATTAACAGATCCAACTGCAGGCTCTTTTGTCAACTCAAATCTGTACCATAAATAAGTTGGTGGGTAACCACATGCTCCATATCTTCAAGTACAGCTCTTACAGAGAAAAAAGTGAGAAAAATCTTCCCGGCTTCATCCCACAGAAGAGGGAGGAGGAGGGAGGTGGGCACGAGAGCATATAGGATACTCAGTTCTGAGGGCATGACTACCAAAAGAAACACATGGTTGCTAATAATAAGAGACATACCTTATTAGTAGTATGATCCAGAACCACCACTTCCCGTATAACCACTGCCACCCATACCACGACTAGAATAAACCGAGTCAACCTGAAAATTCATTAGAGAAGAACAGGAACCACAGTTATCATCAGATAAACACTAAAGCCTCCGCAGAAATCAACGGAGTAGAAGCATACATCGCTGCCACGAGACATGTAATCACTACCATAGCTGGATGAATACATTCCACCTACATCACTTCCACCATAGGAGCCTGCAAACCAACATAAAAATCAAGACAGCTTTCTCTAAACATACATGTAATAACAAATGTTAAGAAAAATAACCAGATTTTACAATGAACAAAAGAACACACCTCCACCATAACCCATATCCTGACGACTGCTATACATCCCATGAGAATCTTGACCTGAAAGGGAGCCCCTACTGCCACCATATCCAAGATTTGATCTCCCAAGTCTACTAATATGTAAATAAGGAAGTCAATATAGTACCAATGATTGCAAAACAGGAAGAAAAATGAATTAACAATAATTATAAGGCACCTGTCAGCATATGCATCTCCATAATGGGAGCCACTTCCACTGCCTAGTTCGTAATCCAAACGAGCACGAGAATGCCGCACTCCTGCCTCAGCATAGCGGGGATGAACATCATCCTGGCATGTATGGAAGATGATAAATTAGTTTGTATCTTCTTGTGCAGATCAGAAAAATATCTTAAATGGAGTTTATGGTGAAGATAACTTACCACTGCAGTGTATGGACGTTTTGAACCAGACGCAGAGTCATATTCACGACCACGTCCCTCGCGGTAAGATGGAGGGGGCCTTTCAAACCGTTGCCCATATCCATCATCAACATAAGCTCTCCTTGCTGCAGAGTGAGTACCTCTAGGCAATTCAGGGTAACCAGACCCACGGGAAGAATACTCATCCCTATAGGATGCACGTCTGTCAGAATGAACCCTCGAAGGATACTCAGCTACTGCTCTACTTTTGGGAGGAGGGATTTCCTCTCGCCGTCCATACTCCCTCTTCAAGCTACTCTTTGGATATGAGGGAACTGCAATTCACTCATTAGTTATTTGGTCGTTCATAAAGTTAGCAGAGTTCAACCAGCAGATTTTGAAGAAAGACGGAAATCATCTCATACCAGGTGGTCTTCGGTCATATGACCTGCTAGATGGTGGAGCTGTGGGTCTTCCCCTAGGAGGCAAATCCATCACTGCCCGTCTATCTCTCGATCCTGCAGGTCGTTTGAAACCACGACCAACTACAGGAGGCATGCGTGTACTAACTCTAGTCCCTCGAATAGCATGACTATGTGGCACTATACGACCCCAAGGGGCACGGGGACCATGCATGGACATACGCCAAGGTCGCAAATCTCCTCGTCCACCATATTTCCCTCTGCCCCTCTCAAGGGGTCTTGATAATCTGGCCCTAACTTTAACCTGAAATATACAATTTCAAGAAACCACTCGCAAGAGTTACATATATTCAGGGATACTTTAAGACAGAAAACAAACCTTGTTATCTCCTTCACCCAATTCCTCATTATTAATACTTTTAGCACAAGTAACTGCAGCCTCATGGGTGTCGAAGGTGACAAATCCGAAGTCCTTTCTCTTGGCTGAAGGCATATTTCTGGCAAGCTCAACTTTTTCAATCTTCCCATATTCTTTAAGAAACTCCCGCACACGATCCTCGTCCCAGGATGCAGAAAGGCCATCAACAAACACTGTTTTGACCTGAACTCAAGAGATATTCACTCACAGTCATATCTTGATTTATCAATAAAAAATAAAAAAATTCACCCACAGTCGGATAACAATTGATATGCAGCAATTGACTCAAGAAGACTCAAAAAGTAAGCAGCAATGTCATCGGAAAAGAACTAACAAGGAAAGAAGATAACCAAACTACCCAGCTCAAAAATTAATGAAATGGGGGAAAGGCCAAACTTGAACAGCAAGCACCTAGCTATAAATCTAATTTATTATAGAAAGGAAAAATTAAACTACAGAGCGTCCTCATTCATTCTTCTTTTCTTCGCAGCAGAAGAGACTAAAAGAGAAGGGATAAAAAGCAAACCATAGAACGACAAAGTATGTTCAAAAACATAATATAACTCTTAAAAGTTGTGTACCTCCAAAATAAGCTAAGAATCACAACAACAAAAGCCTCCGTTTGACAATATACTAACTATACTTGACCGGTCATTGTTCCTTCTATTAAAATATAGATATATGTCCAGAGAGTTTACCTGTGACATGATTTCATCCCCAGGATCAATGAATGAATCCTCAAAAGAAACCTTTGCGGGCCTATCAACACCAAACATAACATCTCTCTTTTGTAACCGCTTAAAAGCATCCATGGCCTCTGAACGTGAAGAGAACTCCAAGAAAGCAAATCCTCGATTCATTCCCTCATTATTAGTGTCTTCGACCAACGTCAAATCCTCAATATTGTCAACACCATAATGCTTCAGCTTCTCTTTTAACTGGGAGAGAAAGCAAACATCAATGACTCGTTAAGCAGCTCCTCAAAACTGAGAATCATGTTTGTTGACAATATGATATGCCTAGCCTACTTACAGCTTCTTTTGTCCAGGTCTTGCATATGTTACCCAAAAACAGAGTATCATTGTCTTGACTTGGAGAGACACCACACTGTTTTCCATTGATCTGAAAATTCCATTGTCAGGAAATACCTTCTATGAGGAATTAAAATCAGTCACATAAAAACTATAAAATAAAGAAAATACCACTGGATTTTTCAGCTCAGTACAAGCTCGTTTTGCTTGTTCCACAGTGGCAAATCGCAGGAATGCAAATCCCTTATTCTTCTTTGTATAAGAATTCATCATAAGCCTCACTTCAGTAACCTCGCCAACTTTACTGAAGACCTTCCTGAGATCATCCTCAGTAGCATCCTTGTCCAAACCACCAACAAATATTTCAATTTCCTTCCGCTTACGCCTTTCTTTAACAACTTCATGATGTTCTTCCTCCTCAGCGGCATGAACCATCTCAGCATGCTCCTCCCCAGCATGCTCATCTTCTTCATCGCCCTCAATTTCCTCATGAACACCTTCAACATCCTCTTCCACCATATCACCCTCTTCCTCTTCATCAACATCTACCTCTTCAGGTTCTTCCTCTATTTCATCTCCCTCTTCCTGAATATCATCATTTTCAATTCCTCTCTCATCATAATCAACAGTGCCATACTCTTCAGGGTCATATTCAGGGTCATTATCCTCCAAATCTAATCGCTCACCCTTTTCATATTGATCGACTGACTCTTTCACATCATCCACCTCTGCCACAAGGAAAAAAAAATCAGCCTCCCAAGCCAGTAGATGGAGAAAATAAGAGCCTCGTATCCAAACATAATTTTCTTGCAAGTCCTATAAGCTGTCAACAATATCCAACTCTATAGAGACCTAACTGATCATCAAAAGATGCCATAGAAAAATTTAAAAAGAACCACATGTGGAAACTCCTCAGGAAAAAAGATTAAAGTTACACGATTTGACAATACTGTAATCTTTCCTTCCCTTCCTTATTGTAGAATAAGGGACCCTTTCATCCATCCCAGTTCCCAGCAAAAGCCTCACCCTTTTCATTATTTCAGGGTTTGTCCCACAAAGGTGGGTCTTGGAACCAACTCATGAATGCCTCGATGTAACTCATACACCTCAAACATCCTCTTGGACTTGGAGACGCCTCACTTTACAATTTTCTGCCATAAGATTTAAGTGATGGTCACAGCTAACCCTCCAACCTAGACCTTATTAAAACTATCCTCCCGTAATCACTTCTCTTGAGATAATATTATTCAATTTAGACCCATAATTCTTTTTTTGACAAACTCTTAATTAAGCTAAATTATTACAATTTGCAAAAAAATTGTCAACAATTATAAGCATAAAACAGAGCTGCAGAAGCAGATATATAATAGGGGTACTAATTCAAATAAGTTGCACAAATTCCATCAATACTCACTCTTGTCTGAACTGAGCATCTTGTTCTGTACAGCTTTGGCATTCAACGGTTGCTCAGGCTCCAGCTTTTCTTCAGGGACTTTGAATTCTTGTTTGAGCTCCACCGCGTTATCCTTACTCTCTTCTTCCATTGGTTCCTCAAGAGACTTTGGCGTGGCACGAGATGTACGGCCACCTCTTTTGGATCCAGAACCTGTAGGTGTCTTTCTCGCTGATTTTGGAGGCATAGTTGGTAAGAATCTGAAAAAGCTTTGGAGATGTATGTACGTATGTGAGTCGTGAAGAAGAAACAAGACCTACAAATTACTACTCTCTCTCTTTAGGTTTGCTTTATTTGTGCGGAGTTGATGCGTTAGGGCATACCCGACCCGTTTTCCTATTTACTAAGTATTAATATTAATGTATTAATGCCCGTTTTGTATCAATAAAGTCACTTAACTTAATATTTTTATCTTCAAAAATCATTTAATTACATTTATCATTAAAATAAATTTGATATAACAAATTAAATTATTTTTTATGTCATGTAATCATGAATTTCATAAGTAATTACTATAGTTTATATAATTGCGTTCCATACCAAACTTTATGTTTGCTATGGAGCATCAGATTGTATAACTCGTTGGCTCCTCTTCAGATTTGTATAATTTCACCGGCAGACCATTTGTATAAATCGTTGTCAGCCTCTCGTTTGTATAAATCGTTGACAGCCTCTCAATTCAATTTTATGTGTTTGTATATCTGCATAAAATTTGAATTTGTATACAATTGAATCGAAAAAAAATGTTTGTATATCAGATCTCTCTCTCTCACTTTATACAAACATAGATTATACATTGTATTTTGTATAATATGTGTTTGTATAAAGCGAGAAAGAGAGAAAGGCAAAAGAGAGTTGGGCAGGGAAATATTTGTATTGTATAATTATAAGTGTATAGGACGAAGATATATGTATTTGCACGTGTATATACAATTTTCTCTCGCTTTATACAAACAGAAACACAATTTATACATTTGTGTTTGTATAAAGCGAGAGAGGCGAGGGAGAGACTAGCGAGCGAGAGAGGGAGAGTGGCGAGCGAGAATTTCAAGGAGAGAGGCGAATGGCAACAGTTTACTACGGGGTACAATTAAATCAAATTGTGGTTATAACATTTAATTTGAATTAATAGTGTAACACCCCGACTTTCCAAAACGTTTAAATTAACTTGTATCTTCGTGGAAAGACAAGGAGGGTGAGTAATAAATTAAAATGATGTGGTATGTCATATTTTAAGTGTTCAAGGGTTGTATCTCAAGTTTTGAAGTTAAGTAAGTGGCAAAATAAAAAGTTGGCGAAAGTTATCGTAAGTTCCTTTTTAAAGATTTGTCTAAAATTTGGGTCAAATGTCTTGGATGTTTTTTCCCAATATATAAAGAGTTAGAAGGCCTATCACTCATTAAATTGAAGGCCTACGAGTCTAGTTTGCAACGCACAAAACCCCGTATCAAACTGACATCAGAGCAAAAAGTTATGAGGGTTTTACTAGGGACTGCAGGGACAGAATCCGGGTCGAATCCGGGTCGGGTCAAAAATATGGTATGTCGGCTTATTTAAC